TTCCTGCTCCTCTCTTTTCCTCTCCTACCATTGGGTGGTGATTTGCTAGGTCTTCTCCCTGGTTAGCTGGATTGGGACCATCGCTGACTGTCAGTTTGGAAGTGACTGCCCCATGTGGAGTGCATATGACTGCACATGGGCAGGAAGCAGACAGCCAACCTATAGGTGCTTCAGAAACGAGGCACCCTTTCATGCTTATCATCTTCAAGACCTGGTAAACTCAGTCAACACTGAACAATTGAGGGGATTCAGGCTTTGGATGGCATGTTATTAGGATTTTTCTTTTCCTTTTCTTCCCCAGTATTTAATTTTTCCTGGGCACTAAAAAAAATAAGATAAATTAAGAGCTAGTGAAAGGTGCCACATGGACAGTTTCTTTACCCACAAGGTGAGTCTAATCACACAAGCTTCCTACCAATGCCTCAGACCTGATCTGGAGGCAGCTCAATCTCTTATCCCAATGAGAGCTCTTGTGTGGGCACATGCCTGCCAGAAACTGGACTGAGATTGCTAACTCATCCAATACAGGCCATCCAACACACCCATTTTTCAGTCAGCTACTAACTACAACCAGTGATGTCCAAGGCAGAGTAATATATACAGGAAATCACGAAGGCGTAAAAGGGGGATTATTCCCCCTTCTATTCTTGTCATTTAGAGCAGGGGTAGCCAACCTGTGGGCAGCCTGTGTGTGGCACACAGCAGACTGGGGAGGGAGCAGGCAGCACAGTGGTAGATAAGCCAGGGAGCAAAAATCAAAGCAGCAGATCAGGAAAGGAGCAGAAAGTAGAATGGCAGATTATGCAGGTAGCACAGGGCAGGGAGTACAAAGTGAAGCAGCAATTTGGGCAGGGGAAGGAGATTGGAGCAGCACTTGAAGATGCCTCAAGGTTTAATTTGTGGCACTCCTGCTAAAAGGGTTGGCCCCCACTGGTTTAGAGCATGCTGATCCTGTTAAAGGAGTATGTTGGGTATGAACTAGTAAGCATGCTTAAGATGGAAATGTCATGGTATGTACGTAGCTCTGCACAAAGAGCAGCTATTATAACATCCTTTCAGTGTGCACCATGCACCGTGGTACACTGTGCTTCACTGTGGCACTCCCTAGTACCATCCCTTCAATAATTCAGACATGGCTTTTATAGTTTATTTCTCTACCAGGGTTGTACTTAAAACTCAGAACACTTATGATTTGGGAGGGATAAATCTCATGTAAGAAGACGGAACCACCTGTCATCCCTAGGAAAAAAGCATGCATCTCAGTTAAAGTGGTTCAGTCAGACTGTTGCTTTCCAATAGCGAATACAAAACTCAAGCTTGCTTGAAACCTGCCAACTCAAAGCAAGCAAAAAAACCTTTCACCTAATATTTTCTCAACACTCTACTGCTCTGCCAAATGCAAATGGAAAACAAATCAAAGAGATGCTGCTGTGCTGACAGAAGCAGCAAGCAAATATCCTTACATGGTTCCATTCCTGGCATCGTAAGGAAAAACTTGTATTCAGATAGGTCTTTGCTTATCTTTCCTAGGTGTGTATCTGGTGTATGATTCCTGGTTTTTTTGTTTCTCTTTCCAGTGTCTGAAGGATTAAACCAGCCAACTGACGACAGTTGTTATGATACATACACTGGCTCCTTCTATTCCATTGGAGAGGAATGGGAGCGATTATCTGAAACTGGCTTTAAACTCTGGTGCCAGTGCTTAGGTTTTGGCAGTGGTCATTTCAGATGTGATTCATCTAGTGAGTAGCTTGCTTTTGTCCATCCATCCCTATATTTAAACTCCATGCATAAATGTACTAATGGCATGTTTGACAGATCCAATCTGACCCAAACATGAAGCAAACACATGCGCATTTTAGTTCAAAGTAATGTTTTGCATCATCAAAAAATGATGGAAAACTTTATTGCTTGTGATTGAACTTTGCAGCCCCCTCAGTATTACTGCTCACTGAAAATATGGTCATTTTTTGTGTTCGTCTATAATGAATTTGCAAGAAAATACCTTAGTATTTTCCCCTCCCCTACTAGGTAAGTACAGTTTTATTGCCAAAAATCAAGAGATTTGACACCTCAGTAGAAAAAGTTGATTGGTCATTTAAGAAAATATCTGTATGATCCTCAAATCTTAATTTTATGTATTAGCACAATGGGGCTGATAATTCTCAGGGATTTCAAATGGGCACAGACACAAGACTATTGTTTGGTTAGTATATGATTGCCCTCTCCACCCACCTTTCTGAAGCTTGCTTCCAGTTTTCACAGTAACTCATTGAGGTTGACAATCAGTATTATTAAACAGCCAGGATGACTAAAGTAACACTTAGGTTTAATGCCCGACAGATGTAAGTAGATGAAATTTAAATGTAAGCTAAAGGGATAATATGAAGTCAGAATGAGTAAGTGATTATATATGGCATACATCCAAATTTAAATGTGCTTGTTTATGGCAGAGAAAACTAACAGAGAGGCATATCTAAGCCTTGAAAGTAGTAAGCTACAGGGAAAATATTTGCTTATAGGGCTAATCATTACATGTCATCATTTGATATGCAGGGTCTTTTTTCCCATGATCTGTGTAATGGTTTTAATGTGAATTTACTCAGTATTAAGTATGCTCTCCCCGTGTGCCTGTTTAATCAGGCTCTCTTTATAGTTGCATCCAAAATTTTTCCCAACCCAATCCTGAGCCAAGGCCCTAACATTCACATTTGTAAGTTTTCCCACACCACTTCCTTTCTTGAGGGAATCCTTTATATGAAGCTGGTATGACCCTCACCAATTTAAAGTCCTACTCTCAAATTAGCTGCAAGTAAATGTACAGGTATGTTTATGTCAATGAAGTTGTGCCCATTTACAGAATCAGTGAATTTTCCCTTTGAGGCTCACATGGAAGTGAATGGATTTCTTTGCCCTACCACTGAGTAACAAGAACATCTAGCTTAGCAACCTGACTGTACTGTTCCCCTCTGGTTCATTCAGAATGGTGCCATGATAATGGTGTGAACTACAAGATTGGCGAAAAGTGGGACCGTCAAGGCGAGAATGGACAGATGATGAGCTGCACATGTCTTGGAAATGGAAAGGGAGAATTCAAGTGTGAACCTCGTATGTCACTTTATCACGTATACTTAACTGAACTCCCAGCTTTCAGAGGTGCCTCTTAGCTGTGCTGTCTGGGACAGGCTGTATAAGGGCACTTTTTTATGGTATACCATGGCGGGTCAGTATGACTGAACCTCCACACGAGACTGCCATATTCTTTGTATGTGGGTTACACTTCTAACAGGATGTAATTTTAATACCAGTAACATGGGGCATTGCTATGAAGCCTTTTTTACTGAAGATCTGAGCATCTTGCAGATGTGAATTAAGAGTCACTGTCCCTGTAAAGATGAGCACATGTGAAGCACAAGGAATACTTTAAAACAGCTTATACGTTCACAGCTAATCACTGGTTTGCAGCAGACCTGAGATTGAGCACATTGACTCTCAGTCTAACCACCCTACTACACACCTACTGCCCCACCCTACTACACACCTTCGTTCTTCAGAGCAAACATGAACCATGCAACTGAATCTTGCTTATTCCTGATTCTCTGTAGATGAGGCAACATGCTATGATGACGGTAAGATGTACCATGTAGGAGAACAATGGCAGAAGGAATATCTTGGTGCTATCTGTTCCTGTACTTGCTATGGAGGACAGCAGGTAAGCAGAACTGGTTTGACACCATGGTGTGAGGACAGATATTATGGGAAGAGTAGACTAAGGGGATGACATTTTATTTATCATAAAAGAAACCTTAGTTTACATTTTAAATTGGCACTATTTTCATGTCTGAATTACAGAACTGGGGAACACTGCCATAGAATCTGCCACCTTCACAAATAAAAACAAACTTGGAGAGTCATCCCTCTTCCCCTTGATTCAAAAGTGAATCAAGAAAAGTCAAGGCTGGTGTCATTTTCCCTTCTTCCAGCCTTCCACACATGGCTAGTGCATCACCTAGGAATTCCTCAACTCTGGCCAGAGGCCACTTGGAATAGTTGAATAAGAGGCTGATCCTATGGATTTTATCTCATTCCCTTTTCCAGCTGCTAAATTAGTCCACAATACTTTTCTATATAAGTAGCCATTGCAGGTGCATGGGGGTAATTATAGTCTGAATAGTTAGTGCAGGAAGGAGGGAGGCATTTACAAAACAACTACCCTATTGAAATATGTGATTTACACCATGGAAAGATTGGAGAATCCCTGATGTAGGCTGGGTTAAATCAACACTCTGTATAATTAACTGCCATCCACTTCTATATACACCCCTCCAAATTAGTGCAACAGATAACCAGGTAAGACTGGTAGCAGGCATAACAAGAAACATAAGGAATCAGGGGCATATATCTATGCTTACATTAACTTGCATATTACTTCTATTTCTTTGGCATCCAAGACACCGTTGGGTTGCAGTAGTGTAAAACTGGGATAACTTTTGGGATTTCAGTGGATTTCCATGGAGTAATCCATCAATCTCAGTGGAGTTACACAAGGGGTGAAAGCACACTTGTGTTAGAATGTAGTAGCTTTACGTGCCTTTTGCTCTTGAAAGACAGTGTCTGATTTGTTTGCATGTTGATGTCTTTTCTCAAGGGTTGGCGCTGTGACAACTGCCGCAGGCCCAATGTCGACGCAGCCTCAGAAGGCTCTTCTGGCCATACCTACACACGTTTTACACAGAGATACCACCAGAGTACAAATACTGTAAGTACACAGGACCCTCTCCAGGCATAGTGTCTTTTGCATGGGTGTCCTACATACAGATCTTGTCAAAAATAATAAACTAGAACTGCTTGCAGCTTTCAGTCTGCTCTGTCATTTATATTTAAGGCCCCAATTCTGCAAAAACTGAAGTACAAGCTTAAACTTTTAAGCATGTGTTTGAAGCCAGTGACTAAGTCCTTTGTTGCGTAGAGATGGAATACGCTTTGTTGACCTTTTCATGGGTGCCACAAGATGCCATGCAATGTGAGAACTGTGAGGTGTGCAAGGCAAACCCAAAGATTTCAAATAGGAATCCATAGTGTTAAAATTATTCTGAACTGCTGTGGTCCTTTTGGGTTCCTTACAACAGAAGAATAATTCTATTATTTTTCTACTGTCAAGAAACAAGTGACAACGAAGATCTGGCATTTTCCGAGGGGTGCTTTGAGTCTAAATTGGGGTTCTTTGAGTCTGAAAAGGTTGAGAACTACTGCAGTAGACACACAAAGGTTGGCTGCAGCTCTCAGACTAATGCTACTGGCCTACAACACTGTCCTTGACATGACTGAGGACTAACTGGCTTCCTTTTCTCTCAACAGAATGTCAACTGCCCAATTGAGTGCTTCATGCCCTTAGATGTACAGGCAGACACACAACATCCACGAGGACAATAATATCTAATAGGCCTTAATACAGCAACAACAAAATATGCATCTCTCTCCCAAGATGACCATCTGAACTGGAGTGATGCTAGCAAAACCGCATCTTTAAGAATGGCCCCCTGCTCTGGAGTCACTTCCCCAGCTTAAGCTCAACTCACAGCTTCTCCAAGCATCACCCTTGGAGTGTTTCAGACTTTTCTCATAATTGATAGCAGTGTATTGCCTCATTTTGCTCAAAGTATTTGATGCCATTCAGTATTTTTCAAATAAAAATGGTACTGAGTCATAAATTAATTGAGGATCAAAATAATACATGGGAGGGGAAGAGTGGTGAAAGCTCCCTTGCCATGCTAACAAATCTTAATCGGAATGACACTACTAAAGTTTAGAGATAGGAAAGTCCACCAAACACTTCTGCTTTCACTTAAGCGTGCAGCCAGCAATAACATAGGAACTGCAAACCCCATCACTGTGATATTTAAAATATGCACAGTCTTAATTCTTTCCAAATGATCCTAGTATTTTTCTAGCTCTATCTTTGTATCTCATACTGTTATTTATCAGAATTTTTCCCTGCCCCTCAAGTGTTTTTATATGGGAATAAATTGTTTTGAAGACACTCAGTATGCAGTTGACAAAGGAGAATTTGGTGTAATTATGATCAGTGATTATTTTTTATACTGTAAGTGCCAAAGCTTTACTACTGTGGAAAGACAACTCTTTTAATAAAAAGATTTACAAACCAGATGCATGGTTAACATACTTTTTCTTTGCTGCTCTGTAGTTAGAAAAGGTATGAGCTTCTCTGGAATAAGATGGGACAGCTGTCATTCTGCAGTATAGCATGAAACAGGCAAAATATTTATAGGTCGGTTTCTGGAAGGACAGGCAGATGGACTAATTGTATGAGAGAGTACCCAGAAATCCCAGCTGCGATCAGAGCCTCATTCAGCTATTATGCCCCAGTGTAGCGAGAGACAGGATGAGCACAGTGGGGCAAGAAATAAGTAGACAAGACAGAAAAAAGTTGGACCTGGAATTTTCAGGTCATGTCGCAGAGGCTGTAAGGACAAGGGATGTGGTTGTCATTGGTGACCTAAACTACCCAGACATCTGCTGGGAGGAGCAGTCAGCCAGGTCTGAACGCTCACATAGGTTTTTAGCCTGCATATAGGACCTCCACCTAACCCAGGAGGTACACAATCCCACCAGAGGAAATGCCTTCCTGGACTTGGTCCTTGCCACAGGCGATGGATGACCTGGTGAGGGATCTGCGGGTGCATGACTACCTAGGCATTAGTGACCATCGTCTGCTGGACGATTTACTATCTGGCACAGGGTGGTGAAAGCAAGCAGTAAGGCAAAAGTCCTTGACTTCAGGAGGGCCGATTTTTTTCAATGAGTTAAGGAGACTAGTAAGAGAGACGTTGGTGACTCAGAGCCTCAATGAGATGGCAGTCCAGGATGGGTGGTTGTTCCTTAAGGAGACAATCCTCTGAGCTCAGAGGGAGTCAGTCCCAATGTGACCTAAAGGGGGCAAGAGTGCTAAAAAGCCCCTTTGGCTCAGTAAAGGCATCCAGGAGGGCCTGAGGGCAAAAAAGGTGGCATACAATGAATGGAAGCAAGGGGCAATTACCAAGGAGGATTACACCTCCGTTGCTCGGGACTGCAGGGAGGCTGTTAGGAAGGCCAAGGCAGAGATGGAACTGGGGCTGGCGACCAGAATTAAGGATAACAAAAAGTCCTTTTTCAAATGCATAGGGAGTAAGAAGGCGGCACCAGGTAACGTGGGGCCCCTACAGGAAAGGCCTGGCAATCTGGTAATTGCAGCAAAGGAAAAAGCTGATCTCTTCACCCCATTCTCATAAAAAAAACTAGGTGACTGCGGCATTGGTGCCTACACAGTCAGATAGGTGGCAAATTGGCTTGATGGTCACACCCAGAGAGGTGGTGGATGGGTTGTTTTTGGCCTGGAGGGATGTAGGCAGCGGAGTTCCTCAGGGCTTGGTCCTTGGGTCTGCGCTATTCAACATGTTTATCAGCGAATTGGAGGTGGGCGTGGAAAGCACACTGTCCAAATTGGCCAATGACACAAAGATGTTGGGAGAAGTGGGCACAGTGGAGGGGAGGGACAGAAACCAGCTAGAGCTAGGCAGGTTACAGAGGTGGGCAGATGAGAATAGAATGGACTTCAACGCAGACAAGTGCAAGGTGCTGCATCTAGGGAGAAGCAACCAGCAACATACCTATAGGCTGGGGAACACCCTTCTCAACACCACAGTGGCTGAAAGGGATCTTGGAGTCATTGCTGACTCCAGGATGGACATGAGCCGCCAATGCAATGAAGCAGTCAGTAAGGCTAACTGTACCTTGTGCATCTACAGATGCATCACAAGCAGGTCCAGGGAGGTGATACTTCCCCTCTATGCGGTGCTGGTCAGGCCACAGTTGGAGTACTGCATCCAGTTCTGGGTGCCATGCTTCAAGAGAGATGTGGCTAATCTTGAGAGGGTCCAGAGGAGGGCCACTCGCATGGTCAGGGGGCAGCAGGCCAGGCCCTATGAAGATAGACTAAAGGGCCTGAACCTATTCAGCCTCCACAAGAGAAGACAGAGGGGATCTGGTGGCCATCTATAAACTCACCAGGGGGGACCAGCAGAAAATAGGTGAGGCTCTGTTCCCCCGGACACCACCTGGGATAACCAGGAATAACGGCCACAAATTGATAGAGTAGGTTCAGGCTTGAAACGAGGAGGCATTTCTTAATGGTATGGGCTGCCAGACTCATGGACTCCCAAGGGAAGTGGTGCTCTCTCCTACCTTGGGGGTCTTCAAGAGAAGGTTGGATAGAAATCTGACTGGGGTATTATGATTCCAGTACTCTTTCCTGCTCAGGGCAGGGGGTCAGTTTTGATGATCTGTTCAGGTCCCTACTAACCCTAGAAACTATGAAAAAAACTAGAGAAGAAGAACTACTATCCTCACATTAAAGATGAGAAAGGGGCATTAGGTACTTAAGCATTTAAAATTCAGTTAAGAACATATTAGTAATCATGTGTTGTCTCCTCAATTTCACTGAGGCTACTGGCTTGCTGAAAATCAAGCACATGCTTAAATATTTGCTAACATATAGAGCTAAGAATTGAACTTGGGTCACCTGGGACCAGAGCAGGGTCTTTGCCACAAACCCAGTTCTCTAGAATGGATTTCACAAATGCTTATAAATCATAATTAATCTTTCTACTTACAACTGGATGATGGAGGATCATTTAATCACTTATTTCTTAGCAAGGGATTGAAAAATAAAACATGCCTCCCTCTATTCAAATATAGATTCACACTATTCCATTCACCTTCCCAAAATTGGGCTGTTGCATATACAGTCTCAGTATGGTAAAATATTTATTTATTAATTTCCTTAGAAATGAAAATGCAGAATTGAGTTTATTCAGCTGGTAGTGATCTTGACTGAGTTTCTAGACCAAGGATTCTCAGCCAGGGACCCCATCACGGGTATTATGACACCCAGCCCCTGAGCAAGGAGAAGTACACCACTTACTCCTTCCCCCACCTACCCCAGAGTCTCACAGGCAAAGGGTTTGCATGGCTGCCCCTTCTGCCTGCTCTGATTAATGTGCTGTGCATGGGTGGGCAGTTGCAGAGCAACATTTTTCACCCTGGTTCATTACCCAGCTCCTTGCATGTGTCCAGGGCTGGGAGGAAGAGCCACAGAAGCAGGTAGCTCTGGTCCCAGGCGTGTCAGTCCTCAGAGAAGCAACCACAGCAATGGGGGCTGTGCTTGCCCCCATCAGGTACGGGGAGGGGGAGAGGAGGAAGGGGAAGGGGACTTTCTCCCTCCCAAGCCTCATGTTCTGTCATCCCCTGCAACCATGTGGCCAGCCCAGCACCTCATCTCTGCCAGTCAAGTGTCCCTGGGCTCTGTCTGTTTTGGCTCCAGGGCTGGAGTTTGGGGTGGGGAGGGGAGACAGGGTATAAACTGCCCTCGGAAAGCTAAGCAGAAATTTGCCCACTGGCTCCTGGTCCCCAGTGGTGACCTGGACCCACTTGTAGGGAATCAATGTGCCCTGCTAAGAGCAAGCATGCACGGGGCCAGCCAGAACTGGGTAGAGCAGCCCAAAAAAGGGTGACATATTATATTTTATATTATAGTACTATAACTAATTAAAAGCACATTAATTCATGTTTATAATATCCATAATGTCAGAGCTGATTTGGATCAGTGCCTCGACACAGTGGAACTTTCTAGCACAAGGCACGGTAAGGCAGGGGAAGTCTCGGCATGGTGAAGAGTTCCGGCGGGGATAGAGTTCCCGCCGAGAAAATGCAGATTTGCATAATACGATTGGCCGATGTTAAATTATTCCCACGTGGCAGCTAGCAATTGGCTCGCTAGCCCTATAAAAGGTTAGGGGCATTTCCGCCCTAGTTGGAGAACTCCGGCAGCTTGATCACCTGCCAACGACTCCCTGTCGGCGAAGCCTTGCGAAGTATCCTTCGAGTTGCATGCCTGAGTTAGACCCGAGCTACCCGGTCTACAAGAGCTCCTCGATTACCGATTAGAGAATAGAATTGTTGCAACTACGATTGCCTGCACTGTATATGACTCTACAGTGTAAGTAAAGCTACCTCTGTTTTTCCAATTGATACGTGTCTCGTTTGCTGCTGAATTCTGAAAACATGCAAAAGGGTGCCACGAGTCTAAAAGGCTGAGAACTACGGTTCTAGGCACTACTGTAATACACACAAAATAATGAAAGGAATTAGTTTTAGGGCATGTCATTGACACTTCTGCATAAAGGACGCCATATTTCTTAGACAGAGAGCAGGCAAAGAAGCAGGTAACTGTTTTTGAACAAGTAATACATTTTGAAATATTGGGAAGAATGTGTGGTGGCTGTGTTCTTCTTGCCTATGGAAACTGAAATGTTACAACTTGCTTACATGCACTATTGTGAAGGTAACTGGTACAAACACTTCCTAATGCTCTACTTGTTCTCAGTAGAATTGCAACAGAAGCATTTTCCCACATTAGAGGCCAAAGCAGAACGTCTTGCCTAGATACTAGTAACTTGCCTATTAAGCTAATTTTTATGTACTGATAAAAACATGCATCCGTACTCCACCCTGTTAAAAACCCTTATTTATAATGGAAGACCTGCTTTACCTTCAGACTGTTTTTACTCAACAAATTACCACAAACCTAAAATATTATCCCTTTAGAACCTGTTGAATTGCACTTAATTCAACTAGGAACAACATCTTTCAGTGCTAACTGCTTACACTGCAAAAACCTCAAGATCCACATTTGCAAAGAAATCAAAAATATAAAGGCTCCCGGAGCCAAAATTCTGTTTCCAGTTACATAGGAGTCACATCTATGAAATTACTCTGGATTCACTTAATAGCATAAAGATACAGCTTGGCTTTTTCACGTGAGACAAATGTGGCAATAAAGAGCTGTTGCTTTAATGGAGTGCTGTCAATAGGACAGCTGAAGAATTTGCAAAGAATAAAAGTATTGCAGTGGGAATGAGCATTTTGCTGCGACTAAAAAGGCTAAGTAGGCTGAGTTCTGGCCTACAGTTCTTGGTGGGGAACACCTTGGAGGGCTCAGTTTGAGCATCTTTTGCTGTAGTTTCATAATGGGACATCTAGATTCAACTTTTCACTCCTCAGGAAGATAACCTGGGCCTAGCTGCAGGCCCCAGAAGCTGCTCTCTGATTGA